AGTAAGTTACAGTCTATCTGCAGCGTAGAATCGCATGCAGCCAATTACAGTGACTACGCACACAACACACAGGTAAGAACTCACCCCATGCAGCGAAGGGAAAAAGGCGTTTGCAACACACGGCAGTGGGACTTCTAGCTAAATGTCTCTATTTCTGCTTCATCTGAAGCCCCACTAAGATAAAAGGAATAGATATGGCCTAAGTCCACAGGAACACGGTGAATGGAATGAGGCCAAACAGCTGGAAACCTGGAACAGATGAGCACGCGAGTCAGGAGAGGGGGCGCCAACAAGCTCCCCAAGGCTCAGTCCAGCACCCCGGGGGTGTCGGAGTTGCAGCGCCAGCTCTCAAGGAAGAAGGGACTGAGATGGGGTTGAGGCAGGCGATTGGCTGCCCATTCAACAACGGCTGGGTGTTGGGTGTGGCCAGATTTCGGCTTTGGTGGAGTTCACAATGTAGTGGGAGACAGACTACAAATAAGTGAAACACACTGGATACCGGATGGTGATGAGAGCTCTGGAGAGAAATGAAAGAGGGCAAGGAGAGGAAGTAGTGCCTGGGGAGGGGCCAAGGAAGACCCCCCAGGGAAGGCAATAAATGAGTAAAGACTTGTAGGAAGAGAGGGAGCAAGTCATTCAGAAAGCTGGGGAAGACTGCTTCCAACGAAGGAAACAGTCAGTGCAAAGGCACTGAGGCTAGAATGCATCCAGGCAGCCGGTGTGGCTGGCACCGAGTCGGGGGAAGGCTGGTGGCAGAGGAGAGGAGGTTGGACAGATTTAACACTGTGAGAGTGGATGATGTCACCAAGGACTGGGTGTGTTACCATTAAAGGTGAGGAGAGGAGGAGAAACCAGCAGAGGGGGCTGGGGAGGGGGATCGGAGAGGGAAGAAGGAAACCAGGAGAGCTCGATGTCCTGGGGTTCAACAAGACAGTGTCCCAGGAAGAGCACTGCCAGCTGTGGGGGTGCTCCTGAGACGCTCGGAGAGATGGGGTCAGGGAGTGGAGTCAGCCACAGCCGCACTGCCAGTGAACCTGAAGGGTTGGCTCAGCGCAAGTCAGGTGGGCGTGGGGGGGGGGGAGCTGGCTGTGAATGCAGCCCCGCCCAGCCACACAAGCAGAGTGGAGTATGCAATAGGAAACTTTCAAGTAGCCACATTTGGCAAGGTAAAAAAAAATAAGTGGGATTAATTTTATTGGTATGTTTTATTTAGCCATATATATATTTACTTTCATAAGAATCAATATAAATTTATTAGATACTCTGTTTTCCTTTTCATACTAAGACTTTGAAATCTGGTGTATATTTTATTTATCTTCACAACTCATCCCAATTTGGCTAATCAGATGCCCAGTGCACAACAGTCACGAGTAGCCAGCAGTGACCACACTCCACACTGGACAGAGACAATCATTCAAGGAGTTTTTCTCTAAATGGAAGAGAAATGTGAGATCAGAAGCAGAGAGAGAGAGTGGGAGTGAGTTTTTCTTTTTTATCTGAAAGGAACACAGGCTGGGCTGGGTAGGGGCGGGGTCAGGGAGATGGGGAAGAGACTGAACCTTCCATCACTGGTTCACTCCCCAAATGCCCACCATGGCCAGGAGGGCCAAAGCTGGGAGCACAGTCCGGCCAGCCACGTGCAAAAGGGGTCCAGGGTGTGGAGTGGCCTCGCCTTTTCCCAACCCAGGCTCCTGAGAACTGACCCACCCCAGGAGACCAGCGCCCATCCCTCTGAGGGGCGTGCGCCTGACCTAATCACTTTGCGTGAGGTTCTGCCCAGCCCCAGCACGGCCACACTGGGGACCAGGCTGCCAGCGTGTGAACCCTTAGGGGGAGCATGCCAACCATATGTGAAACAGGCCACATGGGCGAGGAATCCACAGCAAAGAGGAGGCCAGAGGGTCCAGGAAACAAGAGACCCCCCCCACCCCACCCGGGGAGGTGAAGGACTGCAGCTGGCCAGAGGTCCAGAGAGCACTGGGTCCTACACACAGGACGGGCGGAACCCTGGGGTGCTCAGCCAGAATGCCGACAGGGACACACACCTGGAAGTGAACTCTGTCACAACTCATGACAGACCACATTCTGAATTAAATGCAACTTGTTCCCAGCCACCAGCCGGCTGAACGTGAGTGGACGCCAGGAATCTGAGTGGGGCTCGATGTGGTCCAGCCACTTACTCCATTCCCCAGTCCATTCCCCAACCCACCTCCTAGATTCTTTCAAAACCTTCTCCTCTTTCCTCCTTCAATACCGCGTCCGCCTGCCCGTCTCACTCTCTCCCAGATCCCACCAGCACGTGCGCGCACACACCAACGCTCGCCCTCATCTCTGGGTCCCTTCCACACCGTAAGCCAGCTCTGCAAAGCCAACCGTCTCCTTGAGCGCTGGGTGACCTACCCTGCTTTCCCACTCAAGGGCTGTGGCCAGCAGTTCCCTCCCCTGTCATGCAGCCCAGGTTCCCCTCCCAGCAGATCATTCCCGCTGTCCCAGGAACACTTCGGATTTCTCCTGCATTCACAGGACACAAAGAGCCTCTCCCCATCCCATCTCCCTCTCTAGCTACTCCACGACTTCTCAATTCCTTTTTGCAGCAAAGCCCTCCAGAGTGCTAGCTGTACCCACTTCCTCCACTTGTCTCCCTTCCATTCTTTCTTAAACCCACCTTTTGGGGCCAGAGCTGTGGCGAAGTGGGTAAAGCCGCTGCCTGCAGTGCCAGCATCCCATATGGGCATGTGGGAGACCTGGAAGAAGCTCCTGGCTTCTGATCAGCACAGCTCCAGCTGTTGCAGCCATCTGGGGAGTGAACCAGTGGATGGAAGACCTTTCTCTCTGCCTCTGCCTCTCTGTAACTCAGCCTTTCAAATAAATAAATAAATCTTTAAAATAAAAAATAAAAACAAACAAAAAACCCCACACCATTCCTTAGAAACCACTCACATCCAAGCCATTAGTGACCTCTGGGATGCTAAATCCGGGGGCCATTTCTACACCTGATGCCACCCTACTTTTATGTCTGCCATCCTCAATGATAAGTTCCTCTCCAACCCAACCATCTTCTGTTTTCACAATGCTGTTATTTCCTGACTTTTTCTTTTTAAGTCAGAACTACCGAGTGGGAGGGAGAGATTTAGAGAGAGGTCTTCCATCTGCTGATTCACTCCCCGGATGGCTGCAACAGCCAGGGCTGAGCCAGGCTAAAGCCAGGAGCCAGGAGGTTCATCCAGGTCTCCCGCATGGGCAGCAGGACTTGGGCCATTTTCCACTGCTTTCCCAGGCACATTAGCAGAGAGCTGGACCGCAACAGGAGCAGCTGAGACTCAAAGTGGGGCCCATAAGGGATGCTAACGTCGCTGGCAGCGGCCGTACCTGCTGTGCCACGACACTGGCCCCATCTTCCCGACTTTTGAGGCAACAAAGCGAATGCTTCCTAAAATTGACGTTTGCTTCCTGAAACTGGCGGTTGCTTCCTACGGCAGAATTCCTCTGAAGGCTTGTGCTTCCCTTGCGGTCTCCATGTTTCACAGCAGGAAGTGTTGACGCCCCAGTGCCGCCTCCCCCTTCCCTGTTTACCACTGAACAAGCATTCTCCTGGATGTCAATGCTGCAAACCGACCCCAGCCACCATCCCGAGGGCGCTCTTGAACTCTGTCACCGGATGCGGCTGCTGTGACCGAGGGAGGCCTCTCCTGGCAGAGCTGCCGGCCACGGCCACGGCCACGGCCACGGGGAGTAGGTGCCTTCCAGGATGCTATGAACTCTCCGTAGCTCCACTCCCCCACCGCAGGAAGTAACCACGTAACCAAGGGGTGGCCACAGCCCCTGGAATGTACCCCCCCCCCACTGTTCTGACCGTTCCCTTCTGGCTCTTTCTCCAGGGCTTCCTGAACCCAAGGTGCTGGCCCCCAGCAGCTCTCTTCACCAGGAACTGGGCTGCAGAGGGACAGGAGAGCAGGTGACTGAGGGTTTCTCACAACAGTGCTGGCTGCCCGGAAGTCTCTGCCCCGCAGGGGAGGCTTCCTCCTCACCTGTGAAGGCCCCAGGGAGCCAGGACAAGGATGGGGGAGGTGGAGTCCCTGCCCTCCTTCCCCGCCTGCCCTCTTGGCTCTGCTCAGAGCTCCATCTCCACTCAGCCACCGCCGGCCCAAGTCCGCTGTAACCTGCCTTTCACCGTGTTGCATCTGGAGGGGCTCGGGAGCCTAAGACACCTCTGGAAAGCCTTCGGGTGCATCTGACAAAGCGGCCCAGTCCCCACTGTGTCCCAGGCGCTCACGGAGCCAGACCATCATTTCACCCGCAGAAGCCTGTGAGGTAGGTGCTACTATTAGCCCATTCTACAGACGAACACAGGGAAACACCTTCTGAGAGGTGACAGAAACGTTCCCAAGGTTGCCCAGCTAGAGGCGACACCGGGTGAGCGAGCTGGGATTCAGGGGCAGACGCAGAGAGCTAAGAGCCCATGCTGTCTCCCTCTCTCTTCTTAAACTGCGGTGAAATGCACATAGCACAAACCAACCATTCACCAGCGCACAGGGCAGTGGCATCCAGTATTCGCACAGCGCAGGCTGTGCAGCCATCACTGCTGTCTAGCTCCCGCGCACTCCCCCAGGAAAACCCCAAACCCAGGAGCAGTCACTCCACCTGCCTCTGCGCCGCTCCTACCCACTCCTTCTCGGTCACGCTAGAAGCTCCACTTTTGTTGCCGGCCCTGCTGCCACTGGGGTGGGGACAGGGGAGCCCCCACAGCCCGTGCCCGCCTCAGCCACTTAGTGGAGGCTCTCCCAGCCACCTCCTGGGTCAGCCCCTGGGTCCGCCCTGCACCCCGCGGGAGCTCAAAGGCCTGGCGCCCTCCTCTGTGCCGCGCCCTAACGGATAAAACACGTGCCTCCGTTTCCCGCCCAGGCCCGGCATTGCTCTGCTGTTCGAGGCCTGCCCCAGGGGGCCCCAGGGCGCATGACCCGGGTAGCTGCTGCCGCCCTCACTCCTCCTTGCCCACTCACGGGTCTGCTGGAGTTCCGCGGGGCACCAGGGCCAGGCAGACGGAAGTCGGGGTCCTCTTCTCTCTTGGGAAGAAGTGGGAACTCGGGATCCCGTGGTAGGCCAGGCAGGGTCCGGGGCTGTGCCGCGTGGTCCCCCTGCTCCACCCATCAACAGCAGTTGCGGTCAGTCATGGAACGTCCGAGGCGCCAGGGCAGCCTGAGGCTCACCAGGGCCACGTAGCTTGCAGCTCACAGGCATCGGCCCAGCAGGCGCAGGAGATGATGCCCGGGCCCACCTCAGCCCCACGCCACTGCCGCCCCTCCAGTCCCAGGGCGCTCCGTGCCCCGGCTCGGCACAAGGAGCCGGCGCAGGCTCCCGGGAAGTCCATCTTGTGAGGTCCCGGAAGTGGCAGGAAGCCACAGTCCCTTCAGGGCCCTCTGTCTCCGCAGGGAAGCTTCGGGGCAGAAAGAGCTTCAGCCTGACCTAGGCCGTGGAGCCCATGCCACCATCATGGCGAGGCCGGGAACGAAGGCTGGGGCAGAGGGGGGCCCCGAGGCTGCCGGGATGGCAGAGCGGCTGCCCGGCTTCCCTGACTCTCCCCTTCCTGACGGAGTGAGCTGGTCTGGGTCCCTGCTTGTGTGGGGTCAGCGATGACCCCGGTCACTGGACGGCAGTTTGGGAAGGGAGGGAGAACTTCCGGTGCTGGGAGGTGCCCCGAGGGCACGTGGGAGCAAGTGCAGTGGGGCGTCAGGTCACTGCGCATGCCCCGTGCGGCGGGTGTGGCCAGCGAGCAGCGCGGGGCGGGGCTTCTCCCAAGAGGCGTGGTCCGAGTCGGTGCCGTGGTAACGGTAAAACCAAGATGCGTGTGACATGCCTGGCTCTCGGTGAACACCCACCAGATTCCGACTGCATTTAGCCAACTTTGTAGGTGTTAGTGATTGCCGTTGTTAATCATGAATTCCGTACCTGTCCGTCACGGCCCGCCTTTGTCCGCAGAGTCCCAAGGCCATGACGTCCAGCCGCCCCTGTGAGTCCTGGGAGGCGCTGCCTTGGTCCGGCCAGGTGCCCTGCGCCCCTGTGCGTGTGTCTCCACGCGTCCGTGTGTCTGTGCATGGGTGCGTCCCTTTGTGTGCTGGCCCACAGCCCAGTGGCTTACACGGCGCGTCCCTGTTTTGAGGCCAGAAGGCCATGAGCAAGGCGCCGGCGAATGTGGTCTCCTGTCTGACGGGCGGTCTGTCCACCACTGGCTGACCGAGAGCGCTCCGGTGGGTCTGCCTCTTGGGCTCCAGCTCCATGACCTCATTTAACCCCCGTTACCTCCCTGCAGGGCCGGTCTCCAAATCCAGTTACGCTGGGGTTAGGGCTTTAACGTGAAACTGCGGGACTGCGTGTGTGGGTCTGCTCCTGGGACCGGGCATGGGTCTGGCCCTGCTTAGTCCTTTGTCTGTCTGCACCCGTGTCTGTGTGTCTCCCGTTGCCGCGGGGCTGGGAGGGGGCTAGCGAGGAGCCGCACCTGCCAATCACCCCCTCCCACCTGAGGAGGAGCGAGGCAGGCCGGGGCGCGGCGGCATCAAGCGTGGGCTCCTCTCTGCCGATCAAGATCTATAAATAAAGTTGTCTCTCTGGCATGTTCCACACCACACGCGGCTCTTTAATAAAATGGGCTGAGATTTGTGGATAAGCCTGAAGCAAAGTCAATGCTCGGTGTCAATCCCACGCTAAGAGGGGCCTTCAGGGGTCAAGCTGCTTCCTGGATATGATTCCATATCAAAGATATGTCAGCCGGCCGCTAACCAGCTCCTGCAGCGCCGGCAGGCCTCCCGCCCCGACTGGGGCCTGCAGCCGGGGTGCAGGTGTGGGAATGGGGAGGGGTGAGGGTAGCACAGCCGAAGCCAGCTTCTCCGTGGGCCTCAGCTACTCCTCAGAGGCCTTGGGACTCAGAGCCTCCACCTGTCTGAGCGTCTCCTCCCCAATGCTGTCCAATGCCTCTTTCAGACAGAAGGACATCTTGCAGGGGTGGGGGGCACCCAACTCTTCCCAGGCCTCTGCTGGGGCTTCTGCCAAAGCCGTCCACACGGTGTCTGCTGAGGATGTACCCCCCTGATGGCTCATGGGTACCTGGTGGGCTCTGTCCAGCTCCCGGCCTGGGGGAGGATAAACATCTAATAGGCATGCTGGCCACACTCAGTGAGGCAGAAAGAGGGGAAATCAAAAGAAGTTTGGTTTAATTAAGTATCAGGGAAGATTTATGCAACTTCCTCTCCCTGTCATAAATATTAATGAGGGCGGCCTGCAGCCGGCTCCCAGCACCTGCCAGTGGGGCCGGGTGGGGAGGGCAGCAGCTGCCCCCAGCACAGGCTCACGTGCACGCTGGGGCGGGCAGGTTCCCTGCCACGCACTTGGTGGCTTGACCGGCAGGCCCAGGAAGCCCACTGGACATGCTGGGATCCCCGGCAGGACTCCCCTCAGCTGGCTGCACTTTTCCACTGAGTCGGCTGGGACCTTGGGAGGGGCAGGAGGACACAGGCAATGGGGGAGAGGGGTGTGTGAGCGTGAACCGGCTGAGAGCAGGCAGGGGATGAGGTGGACAAGGTGGCTTCCCCAGGGGAAACGGGAGTGGGCCAGGAAAGGAGGGGCCGGCAAGGCTGTGACACCTGGAAAAGGCAAGTGCACCAAACCAACAGGGAGAGAGCGAGAGCGAGAGCGAGAGGCGAAGAGAAGAGGTTCATCACAAGGAACTGGCTCCTGCAGTTATGCAAGCTGAGTTACGGACGTTTGATGAGCAGGCCAGAGAAGCAAGGGAGCCGAGTCGTGCGAGGTCCAGTCTCAAAGCCGGCAGGCTGGAGACCCAGCAGCAGTGCAGGTCTGAGACAGGGAGAGCCCGGCATCGCGGCACCAGCTGTTGGGCAGGAGGGAGGATCTGCTCTCTCCCCATCCAGGCCTTGGGTGGACTGGCTGGGCAGGGAAGTGTGCCCTTCTCAGTCCAGCACTCTGTGAATGACACCTGTACCAACCCTCGCAGACACACCCAGAACCATGTTTGCCCAAGTGTCTGGCACCCCATGGCCCAGCCAAGTTGACAGCCAGGGTGGCTCCGTCCAGCAGGAGAGCGCCTGGGACGGTATAGGTCACACCAGGTGTCCGGATCAGAGCGCGGTGGCCGGAGCTTTCACCCCCACTCAGCACCGCCCATCATGGCTTCAGGTGCTTCAAGCAGGGGCTGGCTCTTGGGAGTGGACTCCGTGGGACCTGGGCACTGACAGGTCTGCTCGCTGTGATCCGAGGTGCATGGGGACCAGAGTGACATGAGGGGTGGGAATGAGGCCACGAGGAATGAAGACCACAGCTCCCTCTTACTAGACAGATCTTGATGGGGCACCTACTTACTGGCAGGCGCTAATTCTCCCAGCCCGCTGACAGCCCCGTGCCCTGTGCTGGGCACGCTGGGAACACATACGTCCTCGGCAGTCCCCCCAGCAGCTCTTGGGTGGAGCAGCTCCTGCGATCTCTGCTTACACACGTGAGTGTGGCCAGCCGTGTTTCCATACTGGGTTTCCACACCTGTCCTGGGTCTCTGCGCAACCTGACTTCCGGGCTTGAACGGTACCCCAGCAACGGGAGCAGCAGGGGAGCACGCCTCCATTTCAAATGGAGCGGCTGGCATGTGTCTTGGAGTTCAAGACTCAGGCGACCAATCTGCTGTCCTCTCCCTCGGTTCAGGCTAAAGTCTCCCCTTCTTCCATGCCATAGGCCAGTCAAGTCCAGCCCAAATGTCGCCTGTGGGTTTCAGAGTCTCCTGAGTCTGACTATAATCACTTGCACATTTTCGAGGGCTCCCTAAATGCCAGTCATACCAAGTGCATCTCTTCACTTCATTCCCAGAGCAAGCCTTGGGCAGGAAATGATAATGATCACCTTTAATTGACAAGAAGGTCCAGGCTCAGAGACATTATGTGATTTGTCTGGCGTTGCAAGGACATCAGTGATGGGTCAAACCAGAACTTTGGGGTGTGTGATGCCAAATCCCTCCATTTAACCCCTAGGTCAAATGTGCTCAAAGAGAGCTGTGCACCACCCGAGGACCTGTTAGGAATGCACACTCTTGAGTCTTCCCCACGCTGACCTGGTGTGACTCAAGTTTGAGGACCACTGATGACCTGGGTTATGAGAGGCCACCCAGGCTCACCTAAGCAATATGCAGGGTCCCAGACCTAGGAGGCTGATATCTGAGGTCCTGCCCCTTCTTGGGGGTGGGGGGAGGAGGGAAGGCAGGGAAGGGCATAGAGTTACCCCTGTGATGACAATCAGACGGGGTCTGCTGTTTTCCTGGCCGCCCCGCCCTACACACCTCAGTTCCGCCTGGCCTCTCTGCTGCCTGCTCATCTTTCTTCCCCATGTCTATGGTCTCTTTCTCCAAAAGGCAATGTCTTTGGCTCCCGTTTTTCTTCCTCATCCACAGGCACACACAGGGCCCTGTGGGCCTCAGCTCCACCCTGGGCTTGAGCAGCCCCTCGTGCTCATGCCCTCTCTGGTTGCCTGGGCAGGCCAGGCCCCAGCTGAGAAGTCACCACCTGCGTGCCAGTCCCAGAGCCAGCGAGAGTCTTCTCCTTATTGGAATTTAATAATAGGTATTTTTTTTTTCCTTCTGAGTTTTGTGTCTTATTTAGAAAGCCCTCTATTTTAACATGATTCTTATTTTTATGTCCATTTTTATAATACTTTCACATTTTAAAGTTTTTAATATTTAAAGTTTTTAGTATTTGAACTGTACGAAATGCTTTTGATGTGAGGAGTGAGGTAGGGATTTGACAACTTTTTTTCAATTGTCCCAACTACCATTTTTTCCCTTTGATAAGAAATGCTGTCTTGGGGCTAGTGCTGTGGCATAGTGGGTGGAGCTGCCACTTACAGTGCCGACATCCCACATGGATGCCAGTTCGAGTCCCGGCTGTTCCACTTCTGATCCAGCTCTCTGCTTATGGCCTAGGAAAGCAGTGGGAGATGGCCTAAGCCCTTGGGCTCCTGTACCCACGTGGGAAACCTGGAAAAAGCTCCTGGCTCCTGGCTTTGGATCGGCACAGCTCCAGCCATTGCAGCCAATTGGGGAATGAACCAGTGGATCACCTCCCCCCCCTCCCCGCCCCGTGTAACTTTCGAATAAATAAAAAATTTTTTTAAAAAAGAAAAGAAATGCTGCCTTAATTATATATTAAATTCCATTGCTTACTGGATAAATTTCTGGACTCTATTTGACCAGTTGGCCAGTTTTCTACTCTGGCACCACGACCACAGCAATTTAATTTCTAAGTGTAACACTTCAGCATACTGTATGATAGAGCTAGTGCTTGCCTTTTGCTCCACTTTTTCAGGCTGTTGCTGGCTATTATGTATTTAGTTTCCATAGAATCTCTAAATTGGCGTGTCTATTTAAAAGTCCTGTGTGTACATTCGTTATGCTCTTATTGGATACATTTATTCACTTAGGAAGATTTAACATCTTTTAAATTAAAATGAGTAAATAATGGATATTTTAAATGGCCTCTCATTTTTGTTTACTTCTACTTTTATTCTTTATATTGTATTTTAAATGACATATAAAAATCATAGTGACTAGGCTGGCGCCGCTGCTCACTAGGCTAATCCTCCACCTTGCGGTGCCGGCACACCGGGTTCTAGTCCCGGTCGGGGTGCCGGATTCTGTCCCAGTTGCCCCTCTTCCAGGCCAGCTCTCTGCTGTGGCCAGGGAGTGCAGTGGAGGATGGCCCAAGTGCTTAGGCCCTGCACCCCGTGGGAGACCAGGATAAGCACCTGGCTCCTGCCATCAGATCAGCGCTGTGCGCCGGCCGCAGCGCGCCAGCCGAGGCGGCCATTGGAGGG